AAATATTAAAGAAATACCGGATCATCGAGATAATAAGGAAAAAAGTTATAACTATGATAATTCTTCAAAATCAATATTTATCATCACCACAATATCCAATTTTTTCTATTATACGTAACTAAGCATACTTTAAATCCACATCCATATGTCATTGGTAAGAAGAAAAAAAGTTTATCAGTAAAAAGGAAAAACCGAAACTGACCAAAACTTATTGGTGTCTGGTCAAACTTGTTAATATTGATAAAAATAAATTTGATATATTATCCTCATATTATTTATATTCAAATTTAAATATAATTAAATCCGCAAGTTGGCGTATTATTATTTCTGGAAGAACAAAAAAATTTAAATATCGTAAACGCCAACTTGCGGATTTAATATTATCGAAATTTAAAATGGAATTATAGTTATATTTAAAGGATTTAAACTATTCAGCGTGAGATATAATGTGTATTCCTTTATTATTGATAAATCTAACTTCAATTAATAGAGTATATATCCAAATTTTACGTACGGATTTGCAGTTTACCTTGGCATTTGCAGCTTACGTAGGCATTTAGAGTTTAATCAAACCCTAATAGATAAATTAGATTAGACTTCTAATTATATTCATAAAAATTTGACGCCACTGATAAAATCATTGAAAAAAATGGCACAATCACAAATAAGATTACATAAATATTTTTCCCAAATACCTTATACAAGCTTATTATAGATGCAAAATATTAGTTATATTTGTTTAGAATATTTTTGTATAATATTAATCTAAAATTTTTAAAAAATTTTAAACATTAATTTACTTATAAGAAATTAGACCATTTTTTGTTATTAATCAAATAATTTTTATAAATTTACATATATTTATAAAATGCTCAAAAAAATTCATTTTATACAAAATTTATGTGGCGGATATTAATAGTTTGGGTATTTACTGTTTAATCCCAAAATAGCGTTGGAAATTTATGTGTTACTCTCTCTTTCTCACTTTGGTATCATAGTGAGAAATGTAATTACTCCTTCCTTATTATATTTTATATTAAATGGATAACTTTTGACTTAAAGGTTGATTAGTTATTTGTGTTAATTCAAATAATAATAGCTTGACTCAAAGTAATTGTTGATCCTAAATTGTTAATAAACTGCCAAGAATGAGACTCCTGGTAATAGAAAATATAAAGTCTTTAGGCATGGGATATATATTGTGTTAATTTAATAGATAATAGCGTGGCTCTAAGTAATTTTTCATCCAAGTTTTTAAGTTAAATTCTTAATAACTGCCAAGAAATGAGACTCCTGGTCATAGAGAAGGTAAAGTCTTTAGCTATGCGATATATAAAAAAAACATATATTTTATTTATTCAAATTCACGCATATTTACATTTTTTTTAAAAAATAAAGAAAAAATTTAACTAAAATATTTCACTACTTATAACTCGAGATCAATAATTTATTTTAAAAATAATTTCCATAGAATATTCATCTGATAATTATGTAATTTAGGTATTGATTGACGTGGCCCGAAGCTCAATAAAAAATATTTTCGGGCCTTGCAAATTTCGCGCCGAAAATTAGTAAACCCCCCCCCCCTCTACTCCCTAAAATTACGAGGCCCTTCTTTATAATTTGAGGACTCTTGTGACTGTCACCTTGTATATTAAGAAAAATATATGCCTTTGATTAATAGGAGTTAGATCGTCAGTGAACCCTCATTAGAGCCAAAAAATTATGTAGTTTAGAATTTTAAACGTCGGATATGCCATTATTCTTAATTGTTCCTCTCTAACATATAGTCGAACGGCTCGGATTACTTGGAAGATTCTGTTTTAAAAAATGCGACGCGACTTATATAATTTTATTCGCAATGAGGCATATTTTCACGATTTGTATCCTCTATATGAATCGGGCCATTTTAACAAACTGAAAAGAGTGAATTGAAACTTTTATAATATCCTTACACCTTCCTTTTCTTTTAAATATCTTAGAAGAAAAAAAATTATATTATCGAGTTCCTAAAAAGGAACAATAGTTAAATTTGAAAATATTGATTTGCATGCTCTGTCCGATGAATAGAAGTTTCCTTGGCTCGGACGTTTGCGATTTGATTTTGTGAGCTAACTTTTATTCAAAAAAACCTAATAGTTAAAGGGGCTAACTGTCCGTTATAGCTTGAGTTAGGCGATCAACATTAGTTCCAAAAAACCTAATAGTTAAAGGGGCTAACTGTCCGTTATAGCTTGAGTTAGGTGATCAACATTAGTTCCAAAAAACAATTCTTTGATTTTAAAGTTGACATTTTTTTTAGAAGAACCTACTTTTTATTCCGATCATTGCTTAAACCCCAGAATGGGGCATTAAATTTTGTAAATTCATTCCTGGATATTATTCATTTTTTGCAGAGTATGAGAAAAAGAAATATTCAAAAAATTTTGATCAAAGATTATTATTTTTTTGAAAAGCAGTGTGATTATTGATCAAATTTTACCTAAAAATGTCTAAATCTTTTTTCAAGTTAATCTTTTGCAATTTCCATGCCAAAAAAAAACTTTCAAGGTGGAAAACTCTGTTTACTTGCGATTAATCTTAATCCTATTTTAAGATAAATATAGAGGAATAAAGAGACTAGAACACAGTTTTTAATAAAGGTACTCCAAAATTTTATTTGCACAAGATCATGATTTATACAACGTATAATTAAAATATCATCCAACATATCTTTGTTACATCTCGTTATCCGTATTCGATCGCAATCCTAAAAACGCTCTTTCGAACAAAAATCTTGCGTATTTATAACTAGAATTGTTAAACGAATCGTTTTTAAAAGAAAGAAAGAAAGAAAGAAACGATTTTTAAAAACGGCTAACTCAATATTTTATACCAGAATAATTTTACGCAAACCCTTAAGATTTTGCTCATAGGTAGGAACAAAGGTCTAGAAATCTATTAGCGACAATATTTTTCTGACTAAAATATTGAGTTAACCGTTTTTAAAAATCTGCTCAGAATGATCCATTTAAACTACACTAGCTAGTAACAAGCGATCGATTCATAATATTAGTTTTCAAGAGGAATTCGAATGTATGAAGTTGAAAAAATATTTTATAATTTAACACTTATGCGCTTATTTCATTTCAAATACAGATTATAAAACTGTGCAATCTTTAAATTTTACGAAGCAATATTTTAATTAGAAACTGAAATTGCTTAGAACTGAGCATTAAAATAATACCCCAAATTTTTATACTAAAATTTAAATGTAGTTAATTTTTTTTTTTATTACTTTACTATTTTTTTTTCAAAAAAATGTCAGATGGAACACTCCAATAATCGGGCAACTGTAGATTAAATATTTTTTAAAAAAAAACTCGCTAATATTTCTGTCATGTACACCCTAGAAGTTGGGAAAATGAATTGAGGGTCAAACTCGAAAACATTCATATTATATTTTATACTGAAATATAAAAAATTCTAAGTAATATCTAGAAGAAAAAAATTACATTAAACAAATGCCTTTATAAATCACAAATATTGTGATGAAATGAGATTGATAGGAAAATAACAATTATTCTTGGACATCTTTTTCTCTTCTTCTCATAATCCTCTGGTGCTAAGATCTTTAGATCCAACCTGATGAACAGACTTAGTTCCAGTTTCTTAATTAACTTCGTCCTTGAATATTTCTTGAAAGGAGGCTTAAAATATAGTAATAAATCTCAGAGACCTGCAGGCCCGGCCCTAAGCCCGGGAACATGTGCTAGGCCGAATTTTAATTTTTTTAAATATACCCGGGCCTGAAAAAACCGAACCGGGTTTGAAGATGTCAAATCCGGGACAGGCCACGCGAATGGTACCTCTGCAGGTCTCCGATATATCTATCAAATTTTATTTTTTTTTAAAAAAAGGTTTAAAGCTTCAAGCTACGCTCTAACTGTTCTCCAGAAGCTATTAGGATAATTTCTAATTACTACAGATACTTTTAAGATACGCTGAAAAAGTATATTCATTTTTCCGTTTTTAGCATTACATTCAGAGAAGCTATTTAGAATTCTAAAAAAAAGAAAAACGAGTTAAGACATCCTATAGGAGATTTTCTGCTTAAATTTCTAAAAAAAAAACACTTTACATATACTCAAATAACTTCGCTGTATTATTTTAACTGAATACTAATTTTATACTAATAAAAAAATGGAGGGAAAATATATATCAGAGACGTGCAGAGATACCATTTGCACGGCTCAAAAAAATTTCAGGCCCGGCCCGGGTACTGAACCGGGCTCAGGGCCTGCAGGTTTCTGATATATATATTATATACTGATCAAGATAGTTTAAATTAATTGGTTCCCTTTTTGGGTTAACTCATTAAAAAAATGCTTCATTTCTTATAAGTCGTGCCACCGATTCGAATCCCTATTAGCTTTTTTGACAGCTTGATTTCCTCTGATTAAAAATTATTCTTTCACTTGTATAAAAGGAGAGGAACATCGAGAATGAACGATAAAAATGCTCAAGTTTGAAACAATAAGAAAAAAAGTCATATAAAAATTCTAAGAGATATTTTTTTTAAGAATTGTGGCCGCGAAATAACCTTAATCTATACTGGGCGATGCATCTATCGAAAATGAACATACCTCTAAGTAGCGTTAAGGCTCGTTTTGAGCCGATTTTTTAAAACGGCTAACTCAATATTTTAGCCAGAAAAAATATACCTAAGCCTCTGATTTTGATAATATATGTTTTAGACCTTTATTCCTTCTATCTGAGCAAAATCTTCAAACTTGCGGAGCATTTTTCTGGAAGAAATATTGAGTTAACCGTTTTTTAAAAATCGGCTCAAAACGAGCGGTTTAACAACACTGCCTTGAAGTCAGCTGTAGCCAAACGGAGCGGTAAAATAAAACATTAAAAAAAATAGGTTAAATATTAAATATAATTAGATTTTAATCACATAATTTAACAAAATTAAATTGAAATAGTTATATAATTAAACATTTTAGAAAAACTGCTTTCGTGAAATGAAACTTTTAAGAATGTAATTTATTTTATAAAATTATTGCAAAAATAATAAATCTACAATTTGGATTTGTAAAATAATATGAAAACATTTCTCTATTTTTTAATAATGATTAAGTAAAATATATATATATATAATTTTTTTGTTGAGAAGCGCTACATTTGGAAGTATTGTATCTCAATACAAAAATTAAAAGTAATGTTGGTAACCGGTTTAGGGTGGTTGTGGCGTGATCGATAAAAAAAAAATATCTAAAGTTTATTAGTTTACTTTTATTCTTTCATGAAGACCAGGTTATATTTTTTTTAAAAATCATCAAAAATGTCATCTTTTCTATGAAAGGGTAGAATGGGCAAAAAGGTAAGATTTCATATTATCTTGCATCGTGTATACCTGGACCAAAATCACGAATTTTGTGCGTTTTTTTCTTCCGAATATCGCCAAATTTTTAATAATTAATGAAGTCTTACTACAAGTCACAGTTAGAACGAATTCGCGGCGAGTTATACAAAGTACGCCGTATTTTTGCGTTTTTCGGTGCGAATTTCGAATAATTAACAACGATTCACGCTAATTGTGAATGAGGAGGGAGGGGGTCAATGGCGGCATAAAAAATTTTTAAAATATAAATCACAGAGTGTATGAGAATATGCTTAAAAGCTATAAATTTTGAGAATTTTCACCATAATAAAAAAAATGACAATTTTGAATTTGCTAAAATAATCACAAAATATAAAAATCGTTATTTTTTTAAATAATAATAATATTAATAAATTTGTTTAAATATTTTTTCCTTGGGGATGATGAATGCATTCCGTCAGTTTTTATCATCTGTTTTTTTAGAATGAACAAAAAAAAACAATTTAAAAAAAATAAAGGTGTAAAGGGTTTGACATATAATAATACCTAGACTGACGATGTATTCATTGAAAATGTACATCAATGAAAAACAGCTGGGGACGCCATTTTGGTTACCCATATCATTATTATTTAAACAAGAGAGCCAATTTATTCCTATGTCTGACGTAACTGTATCAAAGAATTGCCCCTGATCATCGAGATAATAAGGAAGCAAGTTAATCAATTTAATAGTAGTTATTTAACATGAGACCTATACTACCAAAAAGGCGGGTCCAGCTGTTTTGCATTCACCGACGCTTTCAAGTGCATTAATATGAATTCAACGTCAATCAAGGTATTATTATCTGTCATTGACTAAAAGCTAGGCTAAGCCAATATTTGTAATTGCCAGAAAGGTGATTTAATAATATTTATTTTTTTAAAATGTATATTAAATTCAAAAAAAAACAATTTCGCTTTTGAATGCTGGTTTAATGACACTTTAAAATAATCACATGATCGACCGAAATCAAAAGTCCGCTAAAAGATATGAGATTGATTACGAGATATAAAAAAATAATAAAAAGAATTCTTTTTTAAAAAATGGCGCTTATTTTCCAACAATAATAGACCAATGATGTGTGTATATATATATATATACTAGATTGGCGATTCGTTTATTAAACGCATTTAAAGGTGTCCACATATATAGGTGTCAGCTGTAACGCCATTTTGTGGTTTCCGCGTCGCTTGAATGACACGCATGCGCATTCTTTGATAAATAAGAGACAATCAGAAGTGTAAAACCACAAAAAGGCACTACAGCTGACTCATATGCATCGACATTTTAAATTACAAATTTGGTCCTAGCTTAAAAAAAGGTTTGTTTTTTAGATGAAAGTCCGAGCAGGGACATTTAGCAAATCGTATAAAATGGATTAATATAACATTCAATTTACTGCTCGTATTTTAGATTTCCTCTTTAAAATAATTTAGAAAAGGTCAAGAAATGGGATTTTCTATTTTTCAAATTAGAAGAAAGAAGCAGGGCCTGGAACTTATCATAAGGATTCGTTTGGCAAAAATAGTTCCGGTAAAATTAGGCATTCGACGAAAGACGCGACAGAAAAGTGGATGCCAAAAGTACCATAGAAACTCCTTCAAAAAAAATTTTTTTAAGAAGAATCTCAGCTGTTGGAACAGTTAAATCGGACGTAGCCCAAAAGGTAAATATCAAAATTTCTCAACAAATGCGATTAAATATGGGAAAAAAATCAAATGATTTAGCCATATCTGGAAACCTAGGCCCGTACACCGGAGCAAATATTTTTTATTTACTCTAATATTTCAATTTTCCCCTTTAAAAGAATTCGAAAAAAAATAAAAAGTAAAAAATTGTAAGAATTCTGGAGCGGGGGCGGCAAAACGATCTAAAATAAAAATTCCGCGCCGAAACTGAAAATAAATATATTTTTTTCAAATCAGTGCCGAGCCAAGAATATTGATCTCCGCAGGTCTCAGATCATATTCCAATCCCAACAAGCTACTATTTTTTTTTTCGAGTATAAGTTTAAAAAAAAAAATGAAAGAAATAAAAAAAAACTTACACAATACATCGACCTTGGGGTGTTCCTGAAGGGTCTCTATGATGTAAGAGGGTTCCTTTTTACCGACGCAAATTAAATGGATGCCGGTAAATATCGGAAATCTATAAATTTGGCGCGTAACGCAAAAAAAATATATTCAAGATTTAATAACACGCTTTCGCGCTTACTATAAAGGAGGCGCTATCAATATTCAGGAGACTAATAAAGGGAGAGGACAAAATCATCCTAAGCATTACACAATACATGAGAGAGCGAATTCTAAATTCGAAAGATTTGACCGGAAATGTATTCCAACATGCATAGAGCATTTAAGACAATTTTGACCAGAACTTTTGTCCCCAATTTATATCAATTTTTCATACGCATGCGCATCAAAAAAAATATATAAGGGTATATGGCGTATACATTTCCGGTCATACCGATTTTTTGAAAATTACCTTCAAGTTATATAAAATACAGAACTATTAAAACCCTCGTAGATTCATATTACTGTAAGGGGCAAGACTGATTTTATCAAAAAAAAATAGAGAAATAATAAAATAGAATAGAATTGAAACATAGATTCAATGAAAGAAAATAAACTCCTTGAGCAGGTTAGAAGCCTCCAATTCCTTATAAACGTCCAAGGCAGTATGAGGTCCCTGTAACTTCTGCCCGTTCAGCATCTCGAGTTCCAGCTCTTCGATTTTCTTATATATTTTAAAATAATACAAAAAATATATATATGTATATAAATAAATTTCGAGAATAAACTGCCCACCCAAAATATAGGGGGAAGATAAATAAACTTAAGAGTATTAAGAATGTTATCAAGGAAGTAATGCCAATAAGGAGTGGGGAAAATTCTTTTTAATACCAAAAAAAGGGTTGTTATGAATATGTTGGCTAAAGAAAACATTTCGAAAAAATTCTTTGAGCTCCTTGTAATATAAGCGTGTTCATAGATGTTCTTTTGAAAGGAAGGAATATTATTAAGTACGGCAAGTAGTATAGTCACGTGGGCGATTTAAAAAGCGGAGCGGCTAACTAAATATTTAGTGGACATCTATTAGGCGAAATATCGAGAAAATATTTTTTTGAATAAAAGTATAGAGTATCAATCCATTTGACAAAACGAATGGCCAGTCAATACCGGCCTTATGGCACTCAACCATGACATCAACGTATCCCCATTAAAAACAAAATAAAAGGGTGCCGTCCTTGAACAACTAATAATTTCTATCGATATTCGTATCTACGAGTTCCATTTTTATTAAAGATAATTTTTTTTAAAAGAGAAAGAGAATAAACTTTTCCGGTTTTGACGAAGGCTTCCCCGACTTTCCTATTCCTGCCTCCGTAACAGGTCGTTATAAGATCGGCGATGCCGCAACTTTCGAAGAAGGTCTTCAAATGGGACGAGGTCGGATATTTCATCTTGCAAAATTTTACCATTTCCATCAGTCCTGCCCATAAAAACAAATAAATAGCGTAAATAATATAGGCTAGCGGTTCAAAAATCATGAATCCCAACCGTAACCCGGCGAAATATTCCTAAGCGCGAATTCGCGCTAAATGTGAATTCGGGGTAAATGAATATTCGGTTTGGTTTAAGAAAATATTTTGTTTCGCCATTACCCAACTAAGGTTACGACATAACACCAATTTTACGAGGATACAGAAACCGATGGAAACCCGTGATGGCTAGCTACTACGATTTAAAAAAAAAACTATTTTATTAAATTTAAAATGAAGAATTATGTTATCATATGATAAACAAAATTTCAACTTTATTATAGTATCATAAAATAGTAATAAATTTGAATATAAAATGAAATAAGTTAATATATTTTATAAAAGGTCATAACGAACATTATAATAATTAATAAATTATTTTAATTAATATTATAATTTTTGTAAAATTAATTTTACATTATATTTTTATAATTATTATAATCATGTATTTTAAATTTATTTTATTTTAATTAATCTATTATTTTATTTTATTTTAATTAATGTTAAAATGTCATTTTATTCATTTATAACGGAAACAAAAGGTTATTTATTTTTAAATAAATTAGCTGTTTTAGATTTACCACTTCAGCAACAAAAATATCGATTAGAAATTGAACGCCAAGTTGTGAGGGGTTAGTTGTTCGAGCTAATCTTTCACTTATTCAAAAATAACGTTGGGGGGAAGTTAATGACTAGTTTGCTAAATAGACCCGGGGTATTATAAATCTGGAATAAGTGGGCCAAACATAAACATTAGTGTATTCAAAAAATATCGTACGCATTTTATATGGAATAGTAGTCGTATATAAAAAAAAAATCTTAGGGGCATAAAACCGAAAATGAAAATTCTATATCTTCGTTCGCATCAACGAATCTCGACATAATTCGCAATCAAAAAAAAATGTCTAACCCAATCTAATTTCGGCGGCTTTGGTGTTGTCTCCGTACTCGAGCCCATCTATGACACCGGCCCCAAATGCTACTATATTCTTTATTTTGAAATGAATTTAGTTTTGAAAAAGGATAATAAATGGAATGAAAAAGAGAAAATGCAAATAAAAGAAAGAGAATGGAAATAAAAGGAAATAAATTTAAATTAGAAGCCTCGAAAGCAAAGTTAGTGTCGGCAAGCGTGGATCATTAGTTTATTAATTTACGAGTATCATATTTTTTAATTTTTTCTTACTATAATTCATTATCCATTTCTTGATAATTTTATATGAAATTACTAATTTTTGACCAATGACATAAAATAATACCTCACTGACGATGCATTCATTATAATGCATTTGAAAGCGTCGCTGAATGCAAATCAGCTGGATCCGCCATTTTGGAAACCCATATAGTAATTATTGTCATGTTAAAAAACTACTATCAAATTGATAACTTGCTTCCTCATTATCTCGATGATCAGGGGTAATTCTTTAATAAAGTTTGCGTCAGACATAAAATTGGTCTGCCGTTTAAAATTTTTAATAATGACATGGATAACCAAAATGGCGTCCCCAGCTGTTTTTCTGTACACTTTTAATGAATGCAATCGTCAGTCTAGATATTATTATATGTAATTGATTTTAACACAATATACATTAAGTAAATTCAAACTACCATTAATTTGAATACAAAAAGTAAAAACACAACAAAATACAATATTATAAAGGTCATTCAGTATTCTGATAATAATAATTTGTTAATATAATCATTATTATAATTTATTTAAATCTGTTCTAAAATTAATATTTAAATTAATATTTTAAAATATAAATCATTTCTTTTTCCACAATATATAACATTCCCCTCATCCAAAAAATTCCCTTATTGTATCTTTGAGCTTAACACTTGACTTTGTTATTTTCTTATTTTGTAGTAATCTTGATAATTTGTAATTTTCAAGCCAATTCAAGGCCAGAATTTTGTCCCAAGTATTTAAGGATTGGAGTGTCTTCGAAGGATGGTTAATCCCCACCACTTTCCTAGAGTTAGCCAGAAGAGGGTTAAGAAAGGATCTTTGTTCCGAGAACTGAGTGAAAAAGATAAAAGGTATACATACATCTTTCCTCCATAAGACACGGGCAGTTTCAAATAAACTATCTCTACCACTTCACAGTATAGCCTCTTCGCATTGAAAACGAGAATAAAGGAAGGCCGACTTAGAAAACTAAATTAAGAGAGAGAGAAGCCTTAAACTAACCTTTGATTGGTCGAAGTTGTTCAAAAGCTCAAACTCGAAAAAATGGGATGCTTAAGAATAACCACAAGGAAATTTTGATTTTCAGGTCTAGGGCTCAAATGAAGAAAAAAAAAGTTTAAAAATGTATACGAAACCCCCTCCTAAATAGACGTAAAATTCTAGGAAGCATTAACCATTTCCTTGCTAAATATAAAGATGATGGGCAGGAATATAACGCAATATGGCTTCCAATTTAGTTTAGGCGGAAAGTTACTTCCTCTATGCTCGCTTTATGGAGATTCGAACTATTAAACGACCGGACCCTAAAAGGGAGATTGAATTCCGGTATTAAAAATATAATATAAAAAACTTAATTTTAAAGAAATCATAATAACGATTATATTAACAATTATTATTATTATTATAAGAATATTGAATGGCCTTTACAATAATTTATATTTTTTATTTCGTTATATTTTTTAACTTTTTTTTGTATTTCAAAATTAATACGAAAATTACTGTACATAATATTTGTGTAATAAATGGTGTTCATATCAAAATTGACAAAAAAATAAAAAAAATAGATTACCAACATGGTGGTGGTGGCAGCTTTTTTAAAAATGAATATTGACAATTTTGAAAAAAAAAATCCAGTTGAAGGGAGATAATAACGAATAAGAGAGAAAAGAGAAAGGGGAAAAAAAAGGTAAAATAAAGAAAAAAATGGAAAATAAAAGGAAATAAGTTTAAATTAGAAGAAAAAAAAATATTTGATAAAAAACTTTGAGTGCCCCGCACAATTCCACGGTTTCCATGTCCTCCACGACAGTTATCCGGAAATAAGGAGTTTGACAAAGCAATTTGAAAATTTCCCCGTTCTCCATATTGTTGGTTCCTTTGTCGGAATCGGAAAAGATGAAGGAATAAATAATATAAAGTTTCCTTCTTTTTTTTTAAAAGTGGAAATATAAAAATTATTTTCTTTTCGCATTTATTAATTTCTTTCTTCCGATTCTTTATTTTATTCTCGTACATTTCTTTTCTTTCTTATTTATCATTATTTTTTTTATCGAAATCTCCTCCGAAATACAGGACTTGTAGGCTCGGCCCTAAGTCCCGGGTATACAGGCCGGGTCCTATTTAAATTTTTTTAAATATCCGGGCCGGGACTAAAAATATAAAACCCGGACCGGGGCGGGCCGAAATTTAAAAAAAAAAAAATCCGATTGGGTCGTGCGATTGATAACCTCTGCAGGTTTCTGTTATATAGGCCGTGGCTATGTTTTTTTTTCTTTTTAATGGTGACAGTAAATAAAATTATATTGGGTTGGTTCCCTCATAATTATTGGATCCGAGATTGGACTCCATTCAAAAAATCGGATGAGAAACATGTCGGTCAAATGTTATTTCTATACATGGGTACGTATCCATTTTAGATCAATTTCAGGCCGGACAAGTTTTACGCGTGTTTTTATCACGGGAAGTGAGTGGCGTGGAACCGGGAAAATATATTTTAAAAAAAAGAAAGAAAGAAAGAAAGAAAGAAAGAAGAAAATATTTATCTTTCCTCAATATCTTACAAAATACTAAATTTTCTCATCTATTCTTTAAAAAAAAAAAATTATTTTTAAAAAACCGATGGTAGTTTCGCAAAATTTTTCCGCGGCGATTTCTGGTGCCAAGTTAGCGCCCATGAGTACGCTCATGTTGAGCGAGGTTAGGGAAGATTTTATCATGTCCGTGACTAGCAAGGTCTTACCGTCTTGGAAATCTAAACCCTTTAGGTGTTCGGTTGAAGAGGGAGGGCGAGATTTAAGAACAAAAATATTTTGATTTTCAGCGCTTGAATTTCGTGAATTTTTTCGAAATTTCTACAAGGTAAAGGGGGGAGGGGGTTAAACATGTGCTTACTTACCGCATGTCAATTTTCAAAATTTCTACAAAGCCTACCTACCACAATGTTCGCCGCAAAAATGGCGGCTATGAATATAATTTATAAATGGCGGGTCAAAAAGGAATATCATAATAGATCAATCGAAAACGTAAAAAAAAATAGTCCTGAGCCGATAAAATAAATTTAAATTTTGTTTAAACAAATTCTGATTGGATAAGATCGAATCACGAGCGTTTCCACGTGTCAAAACGACTATTTGTAATTTATACGTATAAGAACCCTAGAACCAAAAAAAATATTTTTTTGAATGACCAGAGTATAAAAAAAAAATTTTTCGAGATTTCGCTATTTTTGGGGGGCCAAAATCTTGAGTTAGTCGCTTTTAGAAGTCGGCTAAATCGATCCGTTTTACTAATCCTATTTCCGGCAAAAAAGAAATATATCTATTTAGTCCAAAATAACAACATAATCATGCACCCAAAACCTTTATGAGAGACAAGCCAATGGCGGAGGGCTTGACGTGCGGCACCATGGGTTTGCATATGGCGCGAATAAATTGGTGAGGCATAACGAAGATCAAGAGGTCGGCGTCTTTGACGGCTTCGTCGATTAGAGGCGTGGCTACCTAAAGGGATAGAATGGTTTAATTTTCGATAAAATTATGGCGGGCATTGTTCGCGACGATTATTTTTAGAGTAATTATTGTCGCGTTATGATTGACGTCGAATCTTATCATTTAAAAAATAATAATTTTCCGAACAAAGTTATCGTTAAATTAATAATTCAATGCCGTTCATTAAGTTTGTTAAGGGGAGGGCAATGATTTGTAATTAAAACTGCCCATGTATTGGGGTCAGCTGTGGGTGTCATTTTGTGGTTTGCATTTCGACTAATTGACTTTATTTAAATATTAAATGAATGCGCATTATTATCAATAACGTAATCGGCGTATAAATAGCAAAATGGCGCTACAGCTGACTTCTATGTATGGACACTTTTAAATGCACTAATCTAGTAGTATATATGCAAAGGGGAGGATGGGTTTCCCTTTATTTTGCGAATTTTATCTTGTATTTCCGGAATAGATTGTATTGTATTTCCTGAATCTCAAATCCAGGTATTCGAACCGAACCCGAACCCGGAGAATAAAACCCGGTTTTTGGATAAAAATCTGAACCCGAACGGAACCTGAACCCCGTTTATAAAGTGAAGTGTTAAAAAAATTTTTAAACAACTTAATTCATTTACTCCATTTTTAAATTTTTTTTAAAATTTATTCTCGAAGATTCCTATTGGATTGTTAATAAATTTTAAACAATTAAATTTATTTACGCCGTTTATTTTTAATTTTTAACTTATTCTCAAAGAATATTAATTAGAGGAAAATTAAAGTGAACAAGTCAAAGTAAAAATTATTATATTGGGAGAATTTGTAATGTGTAATATATATATAAGGGAAATGTGTAATTTAAATGTTGAATTTTTGGAAAGTTAATGTTGATGTGTTAATAATTAAGTTTAAAAAGTAAGTTTAAGAGAAAAAAATAAAAAATAAAATATGTAATGTATAAATGTGCAGGAAACTTCTGTTGTATTTGTTCAAAAAGAAATATATGCAAGTAAGTAGAGAATTTGTAATGTGTAATATATATATAAGGAAAATGTGTAATTTAAATGTTAAATTTTTGGAAAGTTAATGTTGATGTGTTAATAATTAAGTTTAAAAAGTAAGTTTTAAGAGAAAAAAATGAAAGATAAAATATGTAATGTATAAATGTGCAGGAAACTTCTGTTGTATAAAAGAAGAATGGCAGTGCTTCAATTCCTATTTTTAAGCAGGTCATGGAATAAAATCATGGATATAACATTTGTTAATTGATGAACTAAAAGCATTATTGGTGTTGTAAATATTGTAAATGTTGGTGTTGGTATTTATGTAGGATGTTCAATTGGGAAAAATGTCATTGTATTCATTAGTAGGTTGAATATTATAATTAATTAGATCCATAAAATTGGAATATGATTTTGTGAGTGTTCTTTGGTTTATTGAATTTTTATTGATATAGAGGAGTTAAAAAAAAAAGATCTTCTCAGATATGTGGTCTATGAGTTGAGTTATAATAGACACTTCAATTAGGGGAGGATTGGGCTGATTTTTGTTGCCAATTTGGGGAGACAGCAATAAGAAGTTTAAGAAGTTCACTCAGTATATTATAACTTCCTTATATGTATCGATTACTTAGGCAAGGCAGGCATTGAGCAATGAATAGAGATCTAGATTAGGATAGGTTGTTGCAATGTGTTGTTTCTGATAGATCTGCGTTGGGTAGATTACTTTGACAGATTCTGAGTAGTTGGGTTATTATTGCAAGGGATCTCGATTATAATTAAATGTAGGTGAATTATGTTGCCGATATGGGGTTGTTGGTATATTTCACAATTATAGTTAGGTTGTTATGGAGTTGAGCTCTTCAATTAGGGTAGGATTGGGGTCGTATGGAATTATCATTTCCAAGAAGTTTGTTTTAAATGTCAAATTGAGATATTTCAATTGTAGATTTTCACATCTACACATTACAAATTCTCTACTTGCATATATTTCTTTTAGAACAAATACAACAGAAGTTTCCTGCACATTTATACATTACATTTTTTATTTTTTTCTCTTAAACTTACTTTTTAAATTTAATTATTAACACATCAACATTAACTTTTAAAAAATTCAACATTTAAATTACACATTTTCCTTATATATATATTACACATTACAAATTCTCTACTTACTTGCATATATTTCTTTTTGAACAATAAATTATTATTTTCTTTTTACAACACTTCTGTATTGTAATTTTTTCCTCTTTTTTAAAACTTTTTCAAAAATTTTTTTTTTTTTTCAACACTACAAAATTCAAACCTTCCTATAAATCTTTAATTTTACTCAATTCTTTTTTAACATTTTTCTTTTACAAAACTCAAATCTCTTTATACATCTTTAATTTTACTCATACCTAAAAATACACCCAACTATAATTTCTTTTTTTTTAAAATATATATTCCTCAGTCTTTTAACCTTTATTTTCCCTACCCATTATATTTCACAAAGCAAATAATCAACATCACATACCAACTATTCCCTAAAATTCTTATGCCCATCTCCTTCCATATGGAAAAATCTTGTTTTTACAATCTCATTATTCTCTATAGATCATTTCTCCTTACTCTCCATCACATCTGTATTCATTGTACAAAATAATTGACATTTCTCTCACTGATAAGTTCTTTCACTCAATTCATAGCCTCTCCTTTAGTCACACAATGGAACGCTGCCCCACGTGTTCCAAAAACATAAAAAATCACCAAATCCGGCCTTTTCACCAGGCACAAATCCAAAGGCTGTGCTTGTCCTGAGTCTGGAAAGCGTCCTTCCCCTCCCTTCCAAAATCCCCTCTCCATTTTTTCTACTCACAGTTATACTTCCACCTAATCCAATAACGGCCACATACCAACCACATCAGACACATTCATTTTCCTCCCACCTACCACTCACGTCGACATCATTAACTTTCTAAAATCCGACAAACCTCCCATTATTTCTAGAATTCCCAAAGGCTCTAGAATACAAGTAGCCAAAGCTCTCTCTACCTGTCTTCATTCACTATTAAATAACTTTTCCTCTCTAGATCATTGGCTCAAACTCTTTTCATTTTCTTTCACGACTCTCCAACCTCCCAATCCTGAGATTCACAAATCTTTAACCCAACAAATTAAAGACGCAACCATACACCCCCTCACCCTCACATCCACCTTTTCTTCTCATAATTCTAAAAAACTTTCCAGCCTCCAATTAAAGGCTAAGATAATTTCTAATAAAATAAACAATCTAAACATCAAATCTGCTCTCCGCCTACTAGCATCTGACGACTCAATTGCAACCAGTAATGAGGAGAGCTACAACAAACTTAAACTTAAGCACCCTTCTGGAGGTGACCTCATACCTCCTCCTCCGCCCAACATATTTCCCACTAATTTTACCCCCGTCGAGGTGCGCAAAAGTATCCTATCCTTTCATCACGACTCCTCGCCCGGGTACGATGGGCTTCGCCCCATCTTCCTCCAGGACCTTACATCCCCCCTCATAGTCAGCCAGGTCCCTATTTTACAGAATCTAACAACATTCTGCAACAAAATAGCACATGGACCTGTTCCCGAATCCATCAGGCCACTCCTGTTCGGCGCTAAATTAATCGCACTCGAAAAGCCGAACAAGGACATCCGGCCGATAGCAATCGGGACAGTATTCCGTCGTCTCGTTGCTAAACTCATAGCTTCCAAAATTAAGGATAACGCAGCCTTAATTTTAGCACCCCATCAACTCGGTATTGGTATCCAGGGCGGTTGCGAAATAGCCACACACGCTACTCGCATCCATCTCCAAACCAACCCTAGTGACGAAATCCTCGTCAAAATTGATTTCTCTAACGCCTTCAACTCCATTCGCCGTTCCCACTTTCTTCCACAAATATACCACTCATTTCCCACCTTCTCCCAATTTTTCCACCCCTGCTATTCCAAGCCATCTCATCTCCAATTCAACATCTACTTACTTTCATCTGAAGGGATCCAGCAAGGCGATCCTCTAGGCTCGATACTTTTCTGCATTGGAATCAACGAAATGGTCAAAAACATTTCTACCAACTGCAATCTTCCACTCCACACTTGGTACATAGACGACGGAATATTCTGCGGCTCCCCTCACGAGGTCGCCAAGGCCCTCGCCATCATTAACACACATTCCGCCGCAATTGGACTTTCACTTAACGAACAAAAAACCGAGATCTGTCCACTTCATTGTTCCATCCCATTCACCCATAACTTCCTTACAACCGAGTCATCATCCCTCACTCATCTCGGCTCACCTGTCGATGGCTTGCAATTCATTAATCACTTCTTCTCTAACGCATCATCTAGCTTACTTCATTTCAAAAACATCTCTAAATTTCTCCCTCGCCATCAAGCTTTTTTTCTCCTCAAAAACTTTTACTACATTCCTAAAATTCTTTACGCTCTTCGATCCACCTCAATCTTTAAATTTCCCGACTCACTAAAATCATTTGAAACTTCCGTCAAATCTCTTGCCGAAGAGATCCTTAATCTTCGCTTCAACCATAATTCATGGCTACAGGCATCACTTCCAAAGCTCGGGGGCATCGGCTTACGCTCACCTCTAACTCTTTCCATCAATGGATTCATCGCCTCCCGCCTCTCATCTGACTCACACATTAGCCAGCTTTCTCACTTTCCTGACCCATTATTAGCTGAAGCCCAGACCATTTGGGACAATTCCGTTGTCCCAAACACTCCTCGACCCTCCTCCTGTTTACAGAGAGACTGGGATACTCCACTCAACGAAGGCTCAGTCGCTTACCTAAAATCGAGCCTTCATGACGACGATCTCACAGTCTTTCACCAATTAAACCAAGGATCGGGTTACGAGTTTCTGGAAACTATACCCTCCAACAACCTCGACTTGTTGCTGACCGCTGACGAGCTAAGATTTGCCATTGGATTACGGCTCAATTGCGAAATTGTTCTACCGTACCAATGCAAACATTGCGAAACCAGCGT